ATATTTCTGAAATAGATTTTCCAAGGTGTCCAATAAATACCTTCTCTGTCTTTCGTCTTTATGTAACGTTTTAAATTCTTTTTTGCCCGCCGTGGCCCGACTAACATCATCCCTTTCGTAAAAATCTTTAAGTTGATTTAGCAAAGCATAATTTTTTTTCTTCACTTGTATGTAACGAATTTTGTCTCTCAAACCTAAATAAGTTGACATCTTGCCCTTCATTTTATATTTTTCAACGATAGAACTCTACTACACTCTTAATAACTCGTTTACAATCTTTATTTCGTGTGGTTTCATAACACAGTTTTAAAGAAACTACTAAAACATAATGTTCCAGAAGTCTTTTTTTAACTTTTTCTTTTTCATTTATAGTTATGTTAGGTTAGTTTTGGTTAATGAAACTATCTGCTTCTTTACAAGGAGTCATTTCTTCATTTTCTTGAGAAATTAAATTGTCTGTATGTTGTGTTACATTAACTTCGTTTTTTAACTGTTTGTTGAATGTTTCAGCAATTCTTGGTTTTTTCGCTGCGTTCTGTTGTTTCTTTTTCTATATTTTGTCATTTCCTTAGTTATTAATAATACTTTAGCTTTTAATTCTATATTTTCCTTTTGTAATCTGTAATTAATTTTATTAATCCTTTTCTGCGCATTTTTATTTTCATCTTCAATATTGTTAGATTTCTTGTTTTTTTTCCTTCTTTTTATCCTCTCTCCATTTTTCTCGCATTTCTTGTTGTTATTTTTCCATGAACAAAATAGTAAACGAAGAAGATCCTTGCCGACAGTTTATGCTCTCGTTGGTGCCCGATTTCAATAAAGTACCCGATCGATTGAAGTCAATCGGGAAAATAAATATAATGAAATGCATATCACAAGCTCAGGATGAAATGTACAATTATAAAGAACCAGGTGACGCTGAAATGTTCTATGCTAATAATGAAAATCAAGTTATTATACGAATTCTTCATCATATGCACATAATTTAATTTAATAATTGGGGACTCATCATTAGTATATAAATTAAGTTTAAGCCCTATTGCTTCATTCGTTTACGAATATTCGCCTGCTAAACAAGTCTATCCGGAAGAAAACTGAAAACTATGGAGAAAATTGAACACCGTGCTATGATAAAATTCCTTACCAAGTAAGTAAAGAACGCTCAGTCCATTTTGAATGAAATGCAAACCGTTTATGGCGGACAGTGCTCTAGTAAATCAATGATTTACAAGTGGCAATGTCTTTTTAAACAGGGTGGGGCGTCGATTGAAGACGACCCCCGCTCAGGTAGGCCAGTTAAGGCCACCAGATCAGACATCGTCGACAAAGTAGAAACAATTATACTGGAGGACACCCGTTTGAAGAAAAAACAGTTATATGCATTAGTTGGAGTATCAGATACCACCTGGGTCTGACAATTGACAAAAGTCGGTGCAAGATGGGTTTCGAGAATGCTCACACCGCTTTCAGAAAGAACAGCGCGTCGATGCGTCAATACAATTTTTGGAATTGTGTGGAGACGCACAGCAGGCTTAGCCAAGTTGACATTCTACAAGCGTAAACGCTATTAGAAAACTAATAAAATGTATGGAAATGACATCATCTCAACGTTAAGTCACGTGGTCAAAACAAACGAATAGAAAAGTCTTAGCCAAGTTGACAATTGTTCAAAGTGATAGAATGGAATGTAATCGTTTCTAAAATGTTGATCTCTAACTCCATATAAATGTATCATGGCCAAGTGACCGTTTTGACAAGCGCTAACGAAACGATGTCAAAGTTTTTGAACGTTCACGTATCGATCTCCAGAACCCAATAGTTATCGTTAAAAAAATGGGGTCTATATGATCCAAGAGAGCATTGTGCTGAGAACGATAAGTGGTTTGTTTGTTTACCATAATTTTGGACTATGTTTACCGTTTAAAATAATACTTTGAATATGTTGTGGTGTGCTTATACTGAAGAAGTGTGGCATAGGCTCCGAAATAAAGTCATAAAGTCAGAGCATGGAGACAATACGCAACATGACGGTAACTTTATGTGTGCAGCACTTTTAGTTTCCAAATACACAGGAAGAATGGCTCAGGATTTCGAAAGATTTTGGAGAGCTCTGGCATTTTCCATTCTGTGTTGGAGCTATGGATGGATACATATAGCTATCAAGGAACCTCCGAATACTGGTGCATACTTCTATAATTATAAAGAATTTTATAGTATCGTCTTATTTGGTATAGCAAATGCAAACTATGAGTTCATCTACGTACACGTAGGTACTAATGGTAGAATTTCAGATGGAGGAATATTAAGGGAAACCGACTTTCATGATATGTTGGAAAATGAAACGTTAAATTTGCCAGAGCCTCAGAGAATAATGGGATATGACATGCCTTACGTATTTGTGGGTGATTCTGCATTTGAATTAAATGCGCATATTATGAAGCCATACCCATACAGTACTAGAAACCGAGACGAACGTATTTTTAATTATCGTTTAACAAGAGCAAGAAGAGTTATAGAAAACACATTTGGCCACATGTCTGCAAAATTCAGAGTACTGCTAACTACAATATCATTGACTAATTTGAAAAATATTGATGGTGTGGTTTTTGCTTGCTGCACACTTCATATTTTTTTGAAAAAATCTTGTAATAGCTACTGCACAGCGAGAAACGTTGATCATGAAGATGAAAATCTTCGTTCTGTTCGTGGTGATTGGCGTGAAAATAGTCATCAATTACTGGATTTACAAGTAAATCGCACATATAGCAATTCTACTGGAAGAGAAGTTCGCGATAAACTTAAAAATTATTTTAACTCGTCTGGTGCTATCCTCATCAAAATTACATAAGTTTATGACGTTTCTGCTTGTGAGTTCGTCAACGTGGATTTCAGAAAAAAAAAATGTATTTTATACTTACATCCTCTGTATCTTCTTCACTTTTACCTTCACCGATACTAGAAATTCCCGACCGAAGCTCTTCTTGATCTAATAAAAATAGCATTAAATCATAATACCACAGAGTTTGTATATTTATGCTCTCGGAATCAGAACCGGTTCGTTTCGATTTTCTAATTAGTCGAAACGCCGAAATCCATTTTTCAATGATTCAATTTTAGTTTTAACGTACTTCGTATCTGCAGCGGGATTGATTGCGTTGCATTTTTCGACCAATTTTTCGTATGCTTGTGCCTTTAAATCTTTATTAAGGTACAATTGCTTATCTTTGATTTTCCACAAACACGACAAAGACTTATAAAGCTCTATAAAACTTGTCCAAAATTCTTTATTTTCACTAAACGCCATTTCTGTGATCAAACTCATGTAGGTATATTACTTTGAGTTATGGAGGGTAGAGGTAAGGAGAACCATCTAATATGGGGGATCGGTTGAAAAAGTGTCCATCTGTAAATAGGCGCTAGTGTCGGAAAAGGAAATGATATGAATTTAGCAGTTATATAAACATTTACATTACAGGTACATTACAGGTACATTTTTGTTATTTTTAATAATTTAGGAGATATGCAGTATTTAAAACCTGAACTATTTACGTAGTCAAATGTAATTTAGTGGCTATAACCTGTAAATAAAAACTTTTGTAGGTACATTTTTGTTAATTGTAATTAGGTAATTTGTTTTTAAACTAGTGTAGAAGCAATGGGAAAGCTTCTTTCCTTCTTTAATCGTATCCTACTGTAATTATCTGTGGCGCTATTTTTAAATTATCCACCCACCCCCTTGCTATTGTGGCGCCATCTTAATGCTGCCTTTCAGTGGACACTTTTTAATATATGAGATGGTTCTCCTTACCTCTACCCTCCATACTTCGAGTGTTAGACCGCGACTGACGTCAAATCCGGCGGGTACATCCGTCGCTACGTACACACGCACAGTTGGGAGCTCGGATCTACCCGCCCCGTGCCCGAACCGCTCGATTTGACCACGGGCAGCGGGCAGGCACCACCGGGCGTGCAAATCCGTGTCCGTTCTCACCATACACGCACGGATCTGTCCGCCAGGCACGCCTGTCGGACAGATCCGGCGGGCAGATCTGTGCGTGTATGGCTAGCTATTGGTCTAAAAATGTTCTTATTACGTTACCGAATAAAATTCGTTAAAAATGAAAACACGTAAAAGATTGCAAATCTTTTTAATAAATTTTAAATATTTTAAATGAAAACACAGACAGAGAACACAAAACTTTAATTATAAGATCAATACTTTAGAAGAAATAGACAACATTTTGTCCATTTCGTTACCTTTGGAACACTTGCTTGGAAAACATTTTAAATTATTAAGTTCACAGGCAGAATCTCAGTCATTTTTAATTAAAATTACAAAATAAATCAACAATCTATGCTGTAACATTCTTAATTATTATAAAAAAATGTTAAATTTTAAATATTAAGAGAAAAATCAGTCATCTCAATTAGGACAGTAACAAAGTAGGAACTTTGGTACCAAAAAAAGAACCTATAAGGCTGAGTATACAATACACTTCAAAACAATGTTTTTATTTAACAAATTCGAACTTGAGATTGAGAATGATGTTAATTAGCTATCTTAGAAATTACAAATTTTGTTCGAGTACAGTATTTTAAAAGAAATGTCGTTGAAAGTATTCATTAGTACAGTAGTACTATCAAAAATCGGTTGTCTGTAAAGTCGGTTTACTGACGATAGTTGAACGTGACAACGTCTTAAGAAAATACTGATGGAATGGTAGCATTTTTCAAAAGAAAATTTTAATTTCATTTGTTTAATAGATTTGTATGTATATAGAGAAGGAGGTAATTGGAAATCACAATAAAATTGATCAAGTTAGATTTATTTGTACGCATAAATACAATTATGTCAATTTTTTTTTACAATTTAATAGTTTTTACAAGTATAAATTTGCGTTGAGCAATTGTTTTACAACTTTTAAACATGTGTTATATTAAATTTCTTACACTCTGTGTTATTCTGTTGAGAATAGGACGATGATAGGAAAAGTAGGAAATTAAAGGGTTTCGACTTTAATGTGTCTTGAAAAAGTCAAATCGATGGTGGTGCCTCCTAGTGTTGTTGAGTTATTAACGTCTGATGCACAATCGACATTAAACATGTCTTTCATGAATTTGATGAATGTTTCGTCATTTTTCACATTTGTGTTGAAGTCGCCACAAAGAAGAATTGGTATATCGGTATCAACTTCCATGACGGGATGTACATACTGGCTGTTATAAACATACGGAAATAGTGCTTGATGTAGCAGAACACTGATGTTAGAAATACTTGCTCCAGGATGAATATAAACTGCGCCAAGAACCATTTTGAACGTGGTATCAGTGGTGAAGCATGTAACTTCTGCTAAGCAAACGTCACCAGTGTTTCTAATAAGGCGGGTTGTATCCGAAAGTTCAACGTTGAGAATTTTGGCTGTGGATGTCGATGATAAGTTTCTATAAATTGCCACTCCACCTGCTGCATTTGTTTCAGAATCTGATCGATTATTCTGCCGGGTTACACATTCAAAATTTTCAATTGAAATTGGATCACAATTGTCACGCATCCACGTTTCAGTCAGAATCAAATAATGAGACCTTGGAATCACTGTGGTTTTTTCAATATCTGCAAAGTGAGCAGGCAAACTCTGTGAATTCGAAGGTTCGTTATTAAAGTTTGTCCTGCATTGTTTGAGTCATTACAGAATTTTACTGCATTGTCAGTAATTGTTCGAAGTGTGTGTCCACGAAGTCGAATGTATTCGTTACGGATATCTCTTGTTGTCTGTGAATCGTTTCCCTCCCGTCCGTGTTTAAACCGAAATGGAGCATCTTTTTCGGTGATAATATGCAAGCCTTCTAAACTTGTTACCCGACTCAGCGCCACGTACACCAACTGTTACGGTTGCTTGGATGAGTATTTATAAACAATGACAGCAAACGTCCCACCTTGTGACTTGTGAATAGTGATGGCACAAGCAGGAACGCAAGGAAACTGTTTTCGTTTACATTTTATAGTTTTCGTTAGTGTAATGTTTACTATTTTCTTATAAACTGGTACCCAGTTTGAAGACAAAGTATTTGGCTTGCTTTGCACGTGAGGTCGACATTTAACTTTGGCTGTGGTTCCTGTTGTTTCTTCTGGAAACTCGAACCATAAAGTAACAATTTCTTCTCTAGCTGCTGGCGAAGTTGTACTGGTCGATGGTCCTGCTTCTCCAGAATTGTCATCTGCATTTGACTGCTGACGTTCGATATGTCGCAAGACACCAATAGATCCATTTACTAACCCATCAGCGACATCTATGTTAGAATTTTTTTTTCATAAAATTCTTCATTCAGAAAATCATTTTAAATTAAAAATAAATAAAAATACAACAAAATACTTGAATAAAATTTATTGGTTAAATTTCTACTCAATTGTTAAAATTTAAATTTTGATTTTATTATTTTAATAATATAATTAATTTTTTTCAATTAGTTACTTAATTATTTTTGCAAATTTAATTGTAATTTGTTATAAAAAAGTAATAATTTTAAATAATTCATTATAAGAATAAACAATGATTAAATTATTGTTTATAAATCTTACATTTAAAATTTAAAATTTGGAAACATTAAAAGGACAATGGCAGGTCCCCATACATAATTTTATTTGAACTGAAATGTTAGCGTTTAAATATCAAAAAATCCTTAACACTTGAGAATTTATTCTAAACCATTCTCATATCAAAATTACTTGCGAAAGAAGTCTAGGAAAAAAGATATTGGATTTTGAATGTTTCGAGGTTAAGTACTAACATATTGTCAATGTTTTGTTTGAAACTAGATGGCGTTGTGTGTCAGATAGCCGAAAATATTATTTTCATTATTATTACAGTATATGAAATAAAAAAAATAAAAGCATAACATCTATTCGAGTTTAACACTAAATTAAACAAAAATAAAATAACAAACGTGGTGAGTCCGGAACTTGACAGGATCTAAACCACAGATTAAGAGATATGTACTAAACGACGACGTATCGACATTTTGAAAATATCGATGTATGTCTATTTATGTGCCGTTATCAATGACAATGTATTTTTCTCATCACACTGTGTAGTGGGAAATAACGTAACTATATTCTATTTCTTTAGTGTGTTTAAAATAGTTTAAAGAGAGTCAAAAATATTTTAAATCATTTCTAATTATGTTGATTCAGTCACTCTACCGTACGAGTGAAGACGTGGGCAGAAGCAAATTCATAATCATAATAGTGAACCTTCGGTAAATATTTCAGCCAAAGCTATAAGAATCGATTATCGATAAATTGTTCCATAATATAATATTGCCACCACGCATCCCTAGTCATTTATACGTGATGGCGAATCTGACATTACGTACTTAAGTCAAATAAAATCTTCAAAAATATCTTATCTCTTATAAGACTTATACAACACATGGTGGTGTAATGATAAATCATAGAAATTTTTTTGATTAAGTTTACTGTGACTCGATTTTTTAAACGCTTAAGTTTTAGGTAAATATGTTTCTGCCATTGTTCTTTCGATTGAATAGTAAAGCCATCAATTTTTTACTCATCGTGAAATAGTTCTGTTAACTAACCTACAATCGCTGCACTAGCGGACCGATGCTATTCATTTTAATGATGAAAGCACGAATATTCGACAATATATCACTGAATATATAATTAATATCGAAAGAATCATTACCTTTATCGCTGTAATTATCGTTGCTAATAACAATTGACACCACATTCACTTTTCACTGCACTTGATACTCGATCTAAACATGTAAATGTACTATAGTATAGCAGCTGTCCACGCAGACGCATCGTTCACTCAAGTAGGAGAGAGACGAACGCAAAGGCCGATTGTGCTTCTTTGTCGCTCGTTCCGCGCTCTCGCTTGCACTTCAAGCCTCACATGGAACGCCTCAGAGCGAGGTAACGCCGCATAAGTCATGTTTTATGCAGCCGGCTCTATCGAATTATAAGACGTTGTCACGTCAATAAGAAACGCAAATTAAAAGAGAAAATGCCATTTACAATTACAAGCCCGGCATGGAAAGCATACAATACCAAGAAAGAAGAAGAGAAAAGAAAACAAATTGAAGAGAAGGAATTGCGAGCAAAAAAATGAGAAGAAAATAAAATGAAAAAATTTAACACGTTGGCGCCCACGGCAATTTTCAGAATTCCGGTCTAAAAAGCCAATTTCATTTATTCATTTTATATTATTAAAACCTCTAATTATATTACATAGTAATAATCAAAAAGCATAGAAAATGTATTCTTTTAAAAAAAAGGTCTTACGAATTATCTCGTAGTTGGCTTATGTAACAGAAATCTCTTCGCGGAAGCCAACTACGAGTTAATTCGTACTCAGACACGTTTAGACCTGTCGCTTTGCTAAAGCTGAATCAGATATATGCGTCCATATTCGTCATAGTATATCAGATATTGTTGAGTGCTTCACATTTACGTCTTTCTTGAGTGTGTTGTTTTATAATTATTGTTATAAATTATCAAGAAACCAATATGGATAAGAAAAGACCAATGACTGAAAATGAACTTGAGTACCACGCTAATCAAGTGGTAACGACAGTAGCGATTATGAACCTTCTGAGAATTCAAGTGATAGTGACGATGAAGTCGTCTCCGAACCTGAAGATAAAGTTTTTCCCGATCCCGATGATAATGATGATGAACCCCAAGCAACAACATCAAATCCAAATAATAATTTGTGGACAGACATTCAACAAAATCCTGAACTATTTATTTTCCAAGAAAATGTTGGTTTGAAATTGGATACGTCAAATTTTACAGTGCAAACGCTGGTGGACTTATTTTTTTCGGAAGAGTTTCTTGCATTACTGGTCGAACAATCTAATTTATATGCTGCGCAAGAAATAGCAAAAAGCACAGCAATAAAAAAATCTAACAGGGTATCAAAGTGGACAGACGTCAATGCTGCAGAGATGAAAGTGTTTATTGGACTTTTGTTACAAATGGGGCCTTGTTGTTTCCCATCAATTGAACATTACTGGAGCACAAGCAAGCTATATAATGTAATGTTTTGGCGCTCAAAAATGAGTCGAAATCGATTCCAGTTGTTACTTCGTTATTTTCATTTGGTTGATAACACAATACCATCTGCCGACAGGTTATACAAGGTGAGACCAATTCTAACTCATTTCAACAATATTATGCTTGAAAACTATGTACCAGATAAAAATATTTGTATTGACGAATCCATGATGCTGGGGCGTGGAAGATTGCATTTCCGCCAGTACATAAAAAATATAAAAAACACAAATACGGTGTCAAACTGTACGAACTATGTGAGTCCGACGGTCTTGTAATGAAAATCAAAATTTATTAAAATTAGAGGAAACTGACCATAATTTAGGTCACACTACTGATGTTGTGTTACATTTACTCGAGGACTATCTCGATAAGGGATACACGCTTTATATGGTCAATTTTTATAATTCTGTTACTCTAACTAAATTACTAAATACAAGAAAAACTTACGTGGAACTCTACGAAATAACAGAAAGGGAAACCCCAGAGATGAGGTACATCGTAAACTCAAAAAGGAGAGTGTATTTGGCAGCAAAATAGACCTGTTACTGTGTGCAAATGGAAGGACAAACGAGATGTCCTTACCATTTCAAACATGCATGTTGTTGAAATGGTAGAGGTGTCCAATCGCAATGGAAAACTTTCTATGAAACCGAATATAATTCGAGATTACAATAAAGAAATGTCTGGAATTGACCGATCAGATCAAATGCTGTCGTACTACACATCTCTAAGAAAGACTATTAGATGGCCTAAAAAGGTTTTACTACATATTATAGAGATAAATATACACAATGCGCACAATTTTTTTCAAAAAATAACTTCTTCTAAAATAAAACTGATAAAGTTTAGAGAAGAATTCGTCGTCGCGTTGATTGGAGAAGAGATTCAACCAGTTTCGAAAAAGATGAGATTGCAAGAGCTTCATTATTTAGAGAGTCTGCCACCTACCAAAAAAAACAAAGTCCGACAAAGCCATGTCGTATATGTACCCAAGCAAAAAAACGCCGAGAAACGCGTTATTTTTGTCCGACTTTTGAAGAGAAGCCAGCCCTTTGTGTGGAAGATTGTCTTAAAAAGTTTCACAAACAATATGGAGTAAGATCCCAGAGCGATAAGACACAACTTATTTTCACATAAATGAAACCTCATGTTCTCAGTAGTGTCTTATGTGCTCAGAATACCTGCGCGCTTGTGGAGCTTGCCGAGTGACACCTGGGCAGGTACCAGGTGTGAAAGGTAACTAAAATTAATAGTTACCTAACTTAAATTTTCATAGCTGATTTTTAAATATATTTTGTAGAGTGTTATTATAAAGTTATACCATAAGCGTCAGACACTTTTCGTGGGCCAGTACTTTTGTCAGACGCTTTAAAGCTCTACAAAAAATAAATTAACTTAACTTATTTTTACATGTCTGACATTTAAATATGTTGTTCAGACAATTGTTACGAAGTTATATTTAATTAGTCAGACAAAATTGATTGACCAAACACCCCCTAAACAGCAAAATTATTCTGCCGTGAGTATGAGCGCGAAAGCATTATAGGTGCGTTTCGGAGCGAGTTAGACGGTCTTACTAACTTAGTTCCCCTTCTCTCATTCGTGTAATTCTTCTGTGTATTGTGTATGTGTCCTTTGGGTACAACCTAATAGTATACAGTATAGTTTGGATGTGTGAGACCACATGTTTTTGTTGTTTACGTCGTGTGATTTGTGAGTTATTTACATTACTTATTAACGTGAAAATCATGGAAGAAACAGAACCAGCAAAATTAACGTGTACATTTTGTGAAAAATCTAGTGATAAATTAATATTATTTACCGAGATAACATTAAAAAAGTGTAAAATTATTTTACAACAGCGAGTGACACATAACCTAAAATTTAAAGACGTAGTTTTACCTGAAGATTTATATGATAAAGGTTATCATCGGGAATGCTATAAAAATTTTACTGCTCTGCCCAAAAAATATTATTCTGAGATTCCAGAAAAAACTAAAATCAGTAAAAATAAAAGTTCTCCGAGCATTGTTGACAAACCATTTGTTGCATCGACATCAATTTTACCTAGTAGTACAAGTACTAATAGTGATCCATCCACAGCATCTACCTCAACTGAACAAAATAGTTCTACTGTTGC